ACTGACAGACTTGATGAGGGCTTAGTGAAGATTGCATATAGAACAGGCTGCTGATACACATTCAGGTTTTATACAGGTTTTCTGGTATTTTTGGGAGTTGCATTTAAATGTATTTTTAACGACATGCAGTCAGCTCAGATAAAGTATGGCACACATTATCACAGTTCCATGAAGCTGTTTTCAATTACAGTACTAGAATGCACAGACATTCTGCATATACACATTCCAGATTACAGGTGCAAAAGTTACGATGAAATGGAATTTTTCTACCTTTTTTCTAGTTTCTATGTAGGGATCTATTTTTGAATATTTTATCTATAAAAAAAAAAATAAAAAATATGGAATGAAAGAAGTGGGCAGAGAGACTTGTGTATCTCTTTGTGCATATATCTGTGCACAGGTAATGTCAAAACTCCGCATAAGAAATGGTCTGGGTGTTTTTTTAGAGATAAGACTGACGAGAGGCAACATTTGAAGTTTATTTTGGGTTATAAATGGTTATGCTGATGTAAATTACACTGTATCATTTCCTGGTCATTAATTCTACTTGTCAATCTAATAAAGTACATCATCAATACATGGAATATTAGAAAAGAAGAAATCTGTAGTTTTATTTCTTACTTTGAAACTTTTAATACAAAAAATACAGACATATATCAATAATTTACTACCCAACCGAAGACAAGTTGTCAGTGAAGATGTAGCATTATGTGGACTTAAAAGTGGAATTAAACATTAAGACAAGAGGTCTACTGAGTTAAAACACTTTTCTTAAAAAGTGAGGTTGCAAATCTTGTAGGCCTGTAGGCTGTTAATTAAGACAACTACGCATAGCCATAAGGCTGTTCATTATGATAGCTACACATAGTCTGTAGGCTTTTAATCTAAACACCTATACAAAGTCTTCGTTAAGACACTAAGTCTCGAGGCTGTTGATTAAGACACATAAAACATATCTTGTAGACTGTTCATTAAAACATTAAACAAAACATGGAAGCTGTGAACAAATAGCTTGAAGACATTAAGGCATATAGACATAACCCAAAGGTTATTCATTAAGTTGTTAAGTAAGACACTTACACATAACCTTGAGACTGTTTATTAAGACACCTACACAAAGTCTGGAGACTGTTCATTAAGACACCTACACAAAGTCTGGAGACTGTTCATTAAGACACCTACACAAAGTCTGGAGACTGTTCATTAAAACACCTACACAAAGTCTGGAGACTGTTCATTAAGACACCTACACAAAGTCTGGAGACTGTTCATTAAGACACCAACACAAAGTCTGGAGACTGTTCATTAAGACACCTACACAAAGTCTGGAGACTGTTCATTAAGACACCTACACAAAGTCTGGAGACTGTTCATTAAGACACCTACACAAAGTCTGGAGACTGTTCATTAAGACACTTACACATAACCTTGAGACTGTTCATTAAGACACCAACACAAAGTCTGGAGACTGTTCATTAAGACACCTACACAAAGTCTGGAGACTGTTCATTAAGACACATACACAAAGTCTGGAGACTGTTCATTAAGACACCAACACAAAGTCTGGAGACTGTTCATTAAGACACCTACACAAAGTCTGGAGACTGTTCATTAAGACACCTACACAAAGTCTGGAGACTGTTCATTAAGACACCTACACAAAGTCTGGAGACTGTTCATTAAGACACCTACACAAAGTCTGGAGACTGTTCATTAAGACACCTACACAAAGTCTGGAGACATAGCTAGGAAGCTATTGATTAAGACACCTTCATACAACCTAGAGATTGTTTGTTTTAAGTAGCCTTTGAGCTGTTAAATAAGACACACATAACCTGGAGACTGTTCATTAAGGCACCTATACATAGCCTTTGATGCTGTTGGTTTAGATACCTACATTTACACAAGACATTTAGACATATCCTGGAAGCTATTTATTAAGACACTTACCCAATGCCTGGAGGTTCTTTATTAAGTCACTAATACAAGGACTTTAGGATTTTAATTAAATAAGGCCATGCTCACCTAGTCTAGAGGCTGTTCATAAAGACACATACAAATAGTCTGGGCTATTGATTAAGACACCTAATTATAGTCTGGAGGCTGTTAAACAGGATGCAGACACATAGCTTGAAGGATGATAAGACACAAAGGGATTGTTTGCCTTTGTCAATAAAAGATACTGAGGGGACAGGTTGTCTCTGTTACTAAAGGATACTGAGGGGACAGGTTGTCTCTTGTTACTAAAGTATTATGAGGGGACATGTTATCTCTGTTACTTAAGGATACTGAGGGACAGGTTGTCTCTGTTACTTAAGGATACTGAGGGGACAGGTTGTCTCTGTTACTTAAGGATACTGAGGGGACAGGTTGTCTCTGTTACTTAAGGATACTGAGGGAACAAGATGTATCAGTTACTAAAGGATATTGAGGGGACACTTGTCTCTGTTACTAAAGGATACTGAGGGGACAGGTTGTCTTTGTTGCTAAAGGATATTGAGGGGAGAGGTTGTCTTTGTTACTTAATGATACTGAGGGGACATGTTGTCTTTGTTACTAAAGGATCCTGAGGGGACATGTTGTCTTTGTTACTAAAGGATCCTGAGGGACAGGTTGTCTTTGTTACTAAAGGATCCTGAGGGGACATGTTGTCTTTGTTACTAAAGGATCCTGAGGGACAGGTTGTCTTTGTTACTGATGGATACTGAGGGGACAAGTTGTCTCTGTTACTAAAGGGTACTGAGGGGACAGGTTGTCTCTTGTTACTAAAGTATTATGAAGGGACAGGTGGTCTCTGTTACTGATGGATACTGGGAGGACAGATTGTCTCTGTTACTAAAGGATCCTGAGGGACAGGTGGTCTCTGTTACTGATGGATACTGGGAGGACAGATTGTCTCTGTTACTAAAGGGTACTGAGGGGACAAGTTGTCTCTGTTACTAAAGGATCCTGAGGGGACAAGTTGTCTCTGTTACTAAAGGATCCTGAGGGACAGGTGGTCTCTGTTACTGATGGATACTGAGGGGACAAGTTGTCTCTGTTACTAAAGGATCCAGAAGGAAGAGATTGTCTCTGTTACTTAAGTATAATGAAGGGACAGGTGGTCTCTGTTACTGATGGATAGTGGGAGGACAGATTGTCTCTGTTACTAAAGGATCCTGAGGGACAGGTTGGTTTGTTACTAAAAGATACTGTGGAGACAGTTGTGTTTTGGTGGAATGCTATTGTTCAATGTCTTTCTGGTTTTATTTAAAAAATATGATGATAATGACCCTATTTTGCTGATTTTTATCTAGCTTTTCTTCCATATAAAACATAATTACAAACAATGCTTGTTTGATGGAGCTGAAAAGTTGGGCCCTATTGTTTATTGTCTCATTCATTGTGTAAAATTTGAGGCTTCATTTTCAAACAAAAACCTTTCTGCCGTTTCTCGGTGGCAATAATGTACTTTAGTTGATAAATGATTCATTCATCTTGAAATTATGTATTTTTAAGGATCACGATAAAAAATGTGTACATGTAAGATGCAGATGGCTGACATTCCGGCTTTCTCTTATGTAGAAATATCTTGCAACAAAATTTTCCAAAAAAAATTATGGTGTCTTACTGCGCACAGAAAAATGCCAGCTCTTGTTATAATGAGATCACAAGAGGTATGCGCATGCATGAATATATTTCTTATTTGGATTATTTTGCTTTTGCAATTTATTTTGGCTGGATGTCAAGATATTGCAATAATTTTTATTGATTTTCCTGGAAATGCTACTTAAGATTAAAAGTGGATACCTTATGCACCGTGCATTTTCTTGATGGGATTTGGAAAATTAGTAACTTAAAAAATTACAGTTTCTGCATATAGACAAATCATTTTGAAATATTCCTAGAGAAGTAGAACAAGTTCTTAGCTAATGGGGAAAAAACTAAACCGTATGATGAATGGAATTGACAGTTCGGGGAAGCACTCGGAACAGAAGAATTGCTTCATCTTCTCAAGATGCAAAATAAAATGTTTATTGAAAGACTTTGTTTTTTTCTTCATTTTGTTTTCAAATTTGTAAATGTAAAATTTCCATTTTAAATTTATTGTATCAGAATCCATTTACTTTCTAAGAAGTCTTAAATTTACGTGAAATAGAATATTGGATTTTTATTTTTTTCCTTGTCATATCAGCTGATATTTATGCTGATTAGTTTGGAGAGGTTTTAAGGATTGTTGAGGGCACTCAAGCAGCACTAGGAGACTGAGCTTATACATTTATTCCTTTACAGTTTTAAAAATCATCTTCTTATGCCATGTGTCTTTAGATTCTAAATATCTGTAAGCCATTTCTATGAGCCAGTGGATATCACATTGTAATGTCTATAAACATCAGGAATCCACTAATTTAACGTGGAAAATTCACTCACTTAGTGCGGCAAATTCACTAACTTAACACACAGATTTCACCAACTTGGCACAGAGAATTCACTCTCTTACTTCCAACATATTTTTCAATAAATTTGCATGATTTGTTGAACACAATGAATATTATTATCAGATAGATACTATAAAAATTCTGTCAATCACCTGAGCTATGAATGCCACATGATGACTGGTTCATGAACTATGAATGCCAAATGAAGACTGGTTCATGAGCTATGAATGCCACATGAAGTTTGGTTCCTGAACTATGAATGCCATATGAAGACTGGTTCATGAACTATGAATGCCAAATGAAGTTTGGTTCATGAACTATGAATGCCATATGAAGACTGGTTCATGAACTATGAATGCCATATGAAGACTGGTTCATGAACTATGAATGCCACATGAAGTTTGGTTCCTGAACTATGAATGCCATATGAAGACTGGTTCATGAACTATGAATGCCATATGAAGACTGGTTCATGAACTATGAATGCCATATGAAGACTTGTTCATGAACTATGAGTGCCATATGAAGACTTGTTCATTGCTGAGGTGTAGGCAACTGATATTGTCTCTGTTATATTTTCAGGTGAGAAACCTTACAGGTGTCCACTAGAAGGATGTGACCGGGCATTTCCTCAACTCTCCAACCTGCAGCACCACATACGAAACCATGATAAGCTGGTGGATAGTCAGTTTCAGTGTCATCTATGTGACAGGGCTTACCCAAACGAGGCTACTCTCAAGGCTCACAATACACGGGTATGTAATGTGTGTGACAGGACTTACCCAAACGAGGCTACTCTCAAGGCTCACAATACACGGGTATGTAATGTGTGTGACAGGGCTTACCTAAACGAAGCTACTCTCAAGGCTCACATAACACGGGTATGTAATGTGTGTGACAGGGCTTACCCAAACGAGGCTTCACTGTAGGGTCACAACACACAGGTATGTAATGTGTGTGACAGGGCTTACCCAAACGAGGCTTCACTATAGGGTCACAACACACAGGTATGTAATGTGTGTGACAGGGCTTACCCAAACGAGGCTTCACTATAGGATCACAACACACAGGTATGTAGTGTGTGTGACAGGGCTTACCCAAACGAGGCTTCACTATAGGGTCACAACACACGGTTATGTAATGTGTGTGACAGGGCTTACCCAAACGATGCGTCACTATAGGCTCACAACACACGGGTTTGTAATGTGTGTGACAGGGCTTACCCAAGCAAGGCTTAACTATAGGCTCACAACACACGGTTATGTAATGTGTGTGACAGGGCTTACCCAAACGATGCGTCACTATAGGCTCACAACACACGGGTTTGAAATGTGTGTGACAGGGCTTACCCAAGCAAGGCTTAACTATAGGCTCACAACACACGGGTATGTAATGTGTGTGACAGGGCTTACCCAAATGACGCTACCCTCAAGGCATACAACACATGGTATGTTATAAGTGTGGAGGGGGATCTGTGTGACAGGGCTTATCCAAATGTATAGGGTTGCATTGTAAGGGAGACAACTATCAATTGCTTGTGTATTATCTATTAGATGTAGGGGAGACAACTATTGTTAAGTGTGATAATGCATGTTAGTTATAGGGGAGACATATTATGGTATAAGAACTGTTGTATTGTCTGTAGGTTGTGGGGGTGAGAACTATTGTATAGTGGTGTATTGTCTGTAGGTTGTAGGAGTGAGAACTATTGTATAGTGGTGTATTGTCTGTAGGTTGTAGGAGTGAGAACTATTGTATAGTGGTGTATTGTCTGTAGGTTGTAGGAGTGAGAACTATTGTGTAGTGGTGTTTTGTCTGTAGGTTGTAGGAGTGAGAACTATTGTGTAGTGGTGTTTTGTCTGTAGGTTGTAGGAGTGAGAACTATTGTATAGTGGTGTATTGTCTGTAGGTTGTAGGAGTGAGAACTATTGTATAGTGTAGTATTGTCTGTAGGTTGTAGGAGTGAGAACTATTGTGTAGTGGTGTTTTGTCTGTAGGTTGTAGGAGTGAGAACTATTGTATAGTGGTGTATTGTCTGTAGGTTGTAGGAGTGAGAACTATTGTGTAGTGGTGTTTTGTCTGTAGGTTGTAGGAGTGAGAACTATTGTATAGTGTGGTATTGTCTGTAGGTTGTAGGAGTGAGAACTATTGTATAGTGTAGTATTGTCTGTAGGTTGTAGGAGTGAGAACTATTGTATAGTGTGGTATTGTCTGTAGGTTGTAGGAGTGAGAACTATTGTATATTGTAGTATTGTCTGTAGGTTGTAGGGGTGAGAACTATTGTATAGTGGTGTACTGTCTGTAGGTTGTAGGAGTGAGAACTATTGTGTAGTGGTGTTTTGTCTGTAGGTTGTAGGAGTGAGAACTATTGTATAGTGGTGTATTGTCTGTAGGTTGTAGGAGTGAGAACTATTGTAAAGTGTAGTATTGTCTGTAGGTTGTAGGGATGAGAACTATTGTATAGTGTAGTATTGTCTGTATGGCTGTTCTCCTACAGACACATTACAGATGATATGTATTAGTTATGTGTACACCACAACCCAATCTCTTCTGTGATAAAATGTTTTCATGATTGCTTTGAAAAATTGATGAAGCTTCATAATCTTCCTTATCATAAAGAAAGGCCAAAGTAAGGAAAAAGGGGCCCCCCAGTGGGGACACCTGTCTTATAGGTATACAAGCACTCTTTTGATGTTAACCCATGATTTAATAGAGCAGATACTATTTAAATTCCATGAAACCGTGAATAATGATGTTATTTTAATGAAAATATTAGATTTTTCTCATCAAATTGATGAATCTTTACAAGTGAATGTTACATTATAAATCTGAGTCTGATTTTATCACTGTTAATATTGTAACATTCATGCAATTAAGTTTTTGAAGTATCAGGTTGTATGATATGCTTAAAGATTCATATTTAAATCTTACTTAAAATATTTAATAAGGTAAAACAAATTTGGTGGTGATATGGTCGTTAGATAAGGGAGAAAAAATTGTTTAATTTATAAACATTGGCACTAAAATGAATGTGTGGGATGAAAGATAAACAGGATGTAGATTATATCTTCATATCAAATTAACACCATTTTCTCATGGAATAAGACCCTTCTAAGCTGAGCAAGTTTTGACCTCCCAACATATCTCTTTTCTTAATCTAAATCCGTCATTTGTCTAACATCTGGCCGTTATCCGTCCGTCATCCGTCAGTCATCCGTCCGTCATCCATACTTAGATCTGTCTGGTTAAGGTTATCCCTTGAGAAGTACTAGATGGATCATTGTCTAATTGTATATGTATGTTCACCTTGGTCCCTAGTTTTGCTCTTTTTCATTTTGGGATTTATCAGATTAACAAAGTGGCTGAAAGGTGGCCATCTTGGATTTCTGCTGTGATTAAACTTTCCATTCAAATGATATCTCCTCAATCACCAAAATGCCCAGGGTGTAGACATTGGACCTGTAGCATGATTGGTTTAAGAGCTACCAAGTTTGTTAAAATGAATGATCATGACATACTGTCAAAGTCAGATGTATCAAATATGTCAGAATCTCTAAACAACTTCTTCTCAATATCCAAAAGGCCTTGTCTACTGATATTGGACCTATAGCATTCTGTATCATGCTGGAATAAAGTGCTACCTGCTCTCTTCATATCATTTACCTTGACCATTTTTCAAGGTCACAGGTGTTAAAAATTTTTTATACAACTTTTTCCTCAATAATCAAAAGGCCAAGGGTGTTGGTATCAGCCTTTAGAATGAATGGATAATTTTGTAAAAATGAATGGCTTTGACAAACTTTCAAGGTCACAGAGGTTAAATATTTTGAAATGCTGAGGTGACTTTTTCTCAATTACCAAAGATTCAAGGGTGCTGATGTTGGGTCTGTAGCATGCTGGGACAAAGGGCTATTAAATTTTGGCAAATGATTCAACTAGACTTACTTTCAAGGTCACGGGTGTCATGTATGTCTAAAACAATTTTAACAACTTCTCAATAACCAAAATGCCAAGTGTGTTGATATTGGCCCTGTAGCATCCTGTGATGAAGATTCACATAGTTTGTTAATGCTAATGACCTTTTCAAGGTCACAAATGTGAAATGTATCAATATTTGTGACCTTTTCTCTTTTTAAAGGTCACAGGGTTCAAATGTGCTAAAATCTTCTAACGACTAAAAAGGTCCAGGCTGTTGATATTGGCTCTTTAACATAAGTCAACGAAGAGCTGCCAATTGATTCAAGATTTCTTATGTCAAATGAGTTGAGATCTTCTTTTCTTTTTCAACAAGCAGTAGATCTGCAGTAATGGCATTTGTGTGCTATGATGTATAAAGAATATGATTTCAAGTTTGCAGAAAATGTCTTTATGAATCAATGTCTTTTATATAGCCTGTAGCGTAATGGTAGTTGAGCTATTCCTTTTAGGCCTATTTGGCCTCTCTCATAGATAGGTCTTTATAGTCAGATGACCATTAGGGCCTGTGGTCCTCTTATTTCCATAGACTAACTGTGCATTGTCCATTTTAGAAATGATAAAAAAAAAAAAAAATGGCTGACTGTGACCCTCGTGGACTTCAGTAAAGTCAGGTTATTGTTGCGATTGCTTTTTTTTATCAATGAAAACCTACTTTTATTATGTTGAAGAAATATGAATATGTATACGTAGAATGATGGCAGATAATAAAAGTCTATGCATATGATAAAAATTTACATCTACAAATTCCCGTCATATATATTTGCCCTGCTGTTCCAGACAGTGGTTTGTCTACATTCACAAAATATCTTATAATGTAATGTTGTAATGACATGAAAAATGGACTGAGTGGATTGTTGCTGTTGCTTGAGAAGTATTGTCAGATTTCCGATCATCTAGAGCAAATTATAAATAAAAAAAGGGAAGGGATCAAAATTTTTAAGAACAAAGAAAATCATACAAAGGTTGGCGCCAAGATCCCTCTGGGACAAATGGACATATCTGTGACGAAATCTAAAAATTGTTGTCATTTATTCCTTGTTGACAAACACATGCGACTAAATGTTGTCATTTCTTCTTTGTTGACAGACACATATGTGTCTAAATGTTGTCATTTCTTCTTTGTTGACAGACACATATGTGTCTAAATGTTGTCATTTATTCCTTGTTGACAGATTCACCTCTGACAAAATGGTATATTTTTTTCATTGTTGACAAACCAGTTACTAAGTGTTGACATTTCTTCTTCGTTTACAGACACAATGTTAACTAAGTGTTGACATTTCTTCCTTGTTAACAGACACAATGTTAATTAAATGTTGACATTTCTTTGTTGACAGACACATTGTTAACTAAGTGTTGACATTTCTTCCTTGTTAACAGACACAATGTTCACTAAATGTTGACATTTCTTCTTCGTTTACAGACATATTGTTAACTATGTGTTGACATTTCTTTGTTGACAGACACATTGTTAACTAAGTGTTGACATTACTTTGTTTACAGACATTGTTAACTAAGTGTTGACATTTCTTCTTTGTTGACAAACACAATGTTCACTAAATGTTGACATTTCTTCTTTGTTGACAAACACAATGTTAACTAAGTGTTGACATTTCTTCCTTGTTGACAGACACAATGTTAACTATATGTTTACATTTCTTCCTTGTTGACAGACACAATGTTAACTATATGTTCACATTTCTTGTTTGTTTACAGACACAATGTTAAGTGTTGAAGTGTTGACACACATTTCTTCTTCCTTGTTTACAGACACAATGTTAACTAAGTGTTGACATTTCTTCTTCGTTTACAGACACACCTGTTAATGTTGTCATTTCTTCCTTGTTGACAGACACACCTGCATTCCAAGCCTCTTGACCTGACCCAGCAGCAGCTTCAGCAGCAACATGATCCCCCAGGGCCGACTGAATCTTCATCTCCCCTTCCCCAAAGCAGCCCCACATCTCCCTCACAGGTGAACCTGTCAGGACAGGTAAAGCCAAGGAAGAGGAAGGCATCACGGCCACAACACTTGTACATGCCCCCTACTATGGTTCCTATTTCCACACCACTAACCCCAGAGGAGGAGAACTCAGCTGAGCAGAAGGAAGACCTAGTCCGGTACGAGGATAGATTCCACAGAGAGACTTCCCAAGATTCATCGACACATAGTTGTCTGGGTGAATCTCAAAATGGCATTCATAAAAACATTCCACTCTCTAGGCTTAATATGCCTAACTTTGACCGGACGGATATGAAGATGCCTACCTTTAATCATTCAGACAAATTGCCGAATTATAGCCAGTCAGACAAAATGCCTAACTTTAGCCAGTCAGACAAAATGCCTAACTTTAGTCAGTCAGACAAAATGCCTAACTTTAGCCAGTCAGACAAAATGCCTAACTTTAGCCACTCGGACAAAATGGCTAACTTGAATCATTCAGACAAGATTCAAAAGTTCAGTGAGTTGGACAAAATGCCTAACTTTGGCCAGTCAGATAAAATGTCATCAAACGGTCAGCTGGAAGGTAAAATCTTAAATCATAGCCAATCTGCAGGCAAGGTTTCAGAGGTTAGCCAGCCAGAGAACAGGAGCTCCCCATTCAGTCAGTTACAAAGCAAACCTTGTAACAATCAGTCAGAAGACAGGATTTCCAATTTCAACCAATGGGATGCTAGGAATATTGATGAGGACAATCACAATGATCGTTCAGTACGTTACGACAGGATACATCAACAGACAGCCAGAGGAATTGATATGAATGTATTTACGCTATCGAAATCTCTTGCCAGTGGAGCAGCTATGGTACGACCCCCGTTACATATGAATACGATGATGAAATCATCACATGACCATATTCTTCCCCTGTCAAGGAACAATTTTGATGTGGCAGCATTTTCACGCCAGCAGAAGTCAGATCAGCTTCAAAGACATATACATAGCTCTAGTCCTTACTTAATCTCTCGACGAGACCCTGCCCTCAAGGGAGTCTACTCTAGTGGCTGGCCCGTGCCTCTAAAGTCATCAACCCTTTGTATGGGTATGGACCGCTCTGAAGAAGCCCAGTCAGATCGGTCAGGGAGTCAGTCGCCCAATCTACAAGCTTCTCAATTTTCATTGGACAATTTTGATGAACCAATGAACTGAAGTGAAACAGATTGAAAGCTAGACCATTAAATTGTTTATTGGTGTAAAATAACAGGACATAGCACAGATAGAGACTGATCTTCAACCATTTAAAATGGTTTGTAAAGTTGGAATAGCTTTTCTGGTGCAAATACTACAAAGTTTTGGACAAACAAAATATTATCAGGCTGGGCCATGAAATGGTTATATACCAGGCTAATTTCTATATTGTTCTCCCTACAAATTAGTAGGATTGAAGGGAGGTAACTCTTTCATATTTTAGAATTACATGTATGATGTACAAGGTAGCATTTAACTTTAAGTGTTTGTGTTTTGATGCCCCGCCATTTGATGGGATTGAGTGGGCATATAGTGTTACCCATGTTCGCCCCATCAAATCACGTCCCATTCAAAATCAATGTCGCATCTTGAGATCTAATAAAACATTTTGGGTCATATTTGCCCCATAGCATCATGATATCAAATTTACACCTTAACTAAGGTGGTCGTGAGTTAATTTTAAAGGGTCAAAGGTTACATTTGACAACTTGTGCAAATGCTTCGGGAGCAGAGTCATTCATGTCTGATAGACTTTTTTGTTTTTTTTCTTCTTAGACACAAATTTTGTTCACAGGAATGTAGTGTTTCTATGTTTTTTTTAAAGAAATATCCCTGAAGAATGACACTTCACTATGAGATGGTTGACTTCACCTATTAGAAACAGTAATTCTATATGTACAGTATTTTTACAAAGGAATTATTTGCAAACAGAAGCTAGATACAATTATTTTAGTACTGAATTCATATAGAGTTTAAGGAAGTTTGTGATCAGATCCAATGAGTTAAAAAGAAAAAAAAATGTATCAAATATTTCTTTTTTCTTTAGATGTTTGAATTTCAAAACTTCAAAAGATTTTTTTTAGAATGATCAAATGAATTTGCATCAAAGCAGACACAAAATTATGTACCAAATGACAAGATGATGACAACTTATATTTGTAGAAGAAATCAGCTTGATTAATGATTCACTGGTATTGTTGGTGACTTTTTTTTTACCTGAAAGTCAGAATTTTGCAAAGTGAACAGTTAGGGTATTGGATGTCACCAACACAATAAGGAGTATTCACTGTCCTGATAACATGTGATAGATATCAGATCTCCCTGGTAACAATGGGGTTTCTCTGCTAGCTTTCCTTCTTCTGTTAACACTACAGATATTATATCATCCAAGCTTAAAAAAAGTGAGATTTAATTTTTAAAAACTGGAAAAAATTAACTGGATAAAAAAAATTCCGTTTTTCAAATCAAAGTTGATATTCATCAGTTTTTCATGAAATAAAATGTTCCTAATTTAAAACTTGATTAAGAAGTCATACCACCTGGAGAAGATGTCGCACTAGTCATCATTAAGTCACAAACAAATTTCCTACTTTGATATGCTGTAAAATTATGAATTTTGTGTTGAACTAATGATTGATTTTATGGGTACTCGAAATTCACAAATTCCTTTGTCCACAAACTGATAAAATAAACAAATTTATTAAACTATATTTAGTTTCTTCGAAATAGAAATTTAAAAAAAAAAAAATGAAAAATAAAAAAAACCACGAAAATTGAGCCCCACAAAATATAAATTTTTATTTCAGTAATAATTTTTTGGGAGGAGGGGTTAGGGTACCAGAACCACTTTCTTTCTGCCTGGAGTTGTGCTGTTTGTCCAGGACTGCCCTCCAATTATGCTTTCTGAAGGTATGGTAATTATTACTGAAATGAAATTGAGATTTATTCAAAACAGATTTTTATGATAAAATACTTACCATAACTTTATGGAGTCCCATACTATCCTCCCCATATCTTCTCAGTCTGACTACCCATTAAGGCTTTTGAGAAAGGGAGATCACTCTATGTCTCCTGTAAAGTTAAGCTCACATGAGAGTAGGTAGGATGGAATATTTGAATATTTTGTTTTTTGAGTTACAAAGATGGGTGCCTGTACTGTATTTGCATACTGAAGTTATGGTAAGTATAACATCGTGAGAATTGGTAAAACTTGAAAAAATCTCAAGATTTTACAGAATATCTTTTATAGAAGGTAAAGGTAGTGTGGGGTCTAAATTGTTAGGTTTTCTTCTCGTCACAAGTGACCAGAATCCACTTTCTCAAATAGCAGATGCATGAAATCACATAATTTGAATTTTAGATTTTTGTCAAATTTTATTAAACTTCTCAAAAGTTCTAAATATAAGTTAGACATGAGAAACTCATATCCTGTCTACATGAGTCGAACAATTCTTTTTTTTTTTACTGTTAGTGAATAAAATTTGAATTCATAATGTAATTTTAGATTGGATCATAAATTTTCATTTTCAGAAGTGAATTGAAAAGCTGGGCTAGCATTATGGTTGAGGTTGTTGTGATAAATAGATGTCACAAAATTTACTGTACAGTGTTAATTTGTTGTTTTGTTGATGATGTTGTTTATAACTGTTGATAAATTGCCTTCGTACCTGTTATGTTATATATTTAAAACAAAAAATTTGATGTTTCACCTCAGAAATTTTGTGTGCAGAAAAAAATGAGGAATGATGACAGGTCATGTTTCACATTGTAAACATTTAAGTCAATCATTACCTGTTAGTTGAATAATAAATATACTGTGTGACTTTGTTGTTGTGTCTACAAAATTACACTTCAAATCAGTTTTCAATATTGAAAATATAAGTATATGCATTTTGTTTTCAATTTAGTTTTTGTGGGTTTTTTTCCGCATTGTTTTTGTGACAATGAAAGGAAATTTATCTAAAAGAACTTATCATTTACTTCATATTATATTGATTTTTAAAAAATGATTTACAAAGAAAAATAATTTTTTCTTGCTGTAAGTATTATATGATGGTCTCCTTATTGTCAGAAGTTAGGTAAAATTTGATTTTTTTTTTTACTTGACAACCAATGATAAGCAGAAATTAACATGACAGATTATATCAAATTCTGATATGTAAATTGTGCAGAGTTGCTTCCCTTTGGAGTTTGATTGAAAATGTCACTTTTAAATTTTTTAGAATTGTTTTGGATTTTTCAACAAATATTTATACCAAAACATTAACTTTTCTGATAATTAATGAAACAGGGCATTATTTGCAAATGGAAATCATTTCACCTACTTTTTTCAGTGAGGGACACAAGAAACTCTTATTGATTTAAATACTAGTAGTTTGGCACTTGTTCCTGGCTCCATACAACACAAATATCATTCAATGGTTCATTTATAACTTTAATGTGTCAGAGCCTGCATATTATTTATTGTAGTTGGCACTTTGTTTTTGTAATTGATCATAACCTTCCTTTCCTCTCTTCCTAAGTCATTATCTCCCTTTCCTCTCCTCCAATATCTTCCTCCCCTCTTTTCCTCCATCATTATCTCCCTTTCCTCTCTTCCAATATCTTCCTCCCCTCTTTTCCTCCATCATTATCTTCCTTCCCTTTCCTCAAATCTCATGATCTCCCTCCCCTCTTTCCATCATTATCTCCCTTCCCTCTCTCTATCATTATCTTCCTTCCCTCTCTTCAAATCTCATGATCTCCCTCCCCTCTCTCCATCTGATCTCCTTTCCCTCTCTCCATCTTATCTCCCTTCCCTCTTTCCATCTTATCTCCCTTCCCTCTCTCCATCTTATCTCCCTTCCCTCTCTCAATCTTATCTCCCTTCCCTCTCTCCCTATATCATGATCTCCCTTCCCTCTCTCCCTGTATCATGATTTCCCTTCCCTCTCTCCATCTTATCTCCCTTCCCTCTCTCCATCTTATCTCCCTTCCCTCTGACCATCTTATCTCCCTTCCCTCTCTCCCTATATCATGATCTCCCTTCCCTCTCATAAATCTTATCTCCCTTCCCTCTCTCCATCTTATCTCCCTTCCCTCTCTCAATCTTATCTCCCTTCCCTCTCTCCCTGTATCATGATTTCCCTTCCCTCTCTCCATCTTATCTCCCTTCCCTCTCTCCATCTTATCTACCTTCCCTCTCTCAATCTTATCTCCCTTCCCTCTCTCCATCTTATCTCCCTTCCCTCTCTCAATCTTATCTCCCTTCCCTCTCTCCCTGTATCATGATTTCCCTTCCCTCTCTCCATCTTATCTCCCTTCCCTCTCTCAATCTTATCTCCCTTCCCTCTCTCCCTATATCATGATCTCCCTTCCCTCTCTCCCTATATCATGATCTCCCCTCTCTCCATCTTATCTCCCTCTCTCTCATTCTTATCTCCCTTCCCTCTCTCAATCTTATCTCCCTTCCCTCTCTCCCTATATCATGATCTCTTATCTCCCTTCCCTTTCTCCATCTTATCTCCCTTCCCTCTCTCCCTATATCATGATCTCTCCTCTCTCCATCTTATCTCCCTTCCCTCTCTCAATCTTATCTCCCTTCCCTTTCTCCATCTTATCTCCCTTCCCTCTCTCCCTATATCATGATCTCTCCTCTCTCAATCTTATCTCCCTTCCCTCTCTCAATCTTATATCCCTTACCTCTCTCCATCTTATCTCCCTTCCCTCTCTCCCTATATCATGATCTCCCATCCCTCTCTCCATCTTATCTCCCTTCCCTCTCTCCCTATATCATGATCTCTCCTCTCTCAATCTTATCTCCCTTCCCTCTCTCAATCTTATCTCCCTTCCCTCTCTCCCTATATCATGATCTCTCCTCTCTCCATCTTATCTCCCTTTCCTCTCTCAATCTTATCTCCCTTCCCTTTCTCCATCTTATCTCCCTTCCCTCTCTCCCTATATCATGATCTCTCCTCTCTCCATCTTATCTCCCTTCCCTCTCTCAATCTTATCTCCCTTCCCTTTCTCCATCTAATCTCCCTTCCCTCTCTCCCTATATCATGATCTCTCCTCTCACAATCTTATCTCCCTTCCCTCTCTCAATCTTATATCCCTTCCCTCTCTCCATCTTATCTCCCTTCCCTCTCTCCCTATATCATGATCTCCCATCCCTCTCTCCATCTTATCTCCCTTCCCTCTCT